ACACCTAACATAGAAAAGGTCCTAAGTAATACATAACCGGTAGCTGTACATTTAAATGACCTCTTCAAATTCTTAATAATTCCCTTATGGGATTCATTATTGGAAAGGTATGTCAGTTTCTGAGCTTCTTTGACAGGCATTGTTGGCAGTTGCATCAGAAAGATTTGTCACACACACACAAAAGGTTTTTTTTTTCCCTCCGTACAAATAACCACAGTGAGCAGAGAATGCCCGTGTTGATGCCTGCTGCTGGCCATTGAGCTGATCCCAATGTTTGCAGCTCTGTGGCATTGCCATAAAACTCGATGCCTTCAGCTACAAAGCACATGTTTTTACAGCCTGCAGAACTTCATTTCCACGGTGCTGGGGCTTGAATGCGTCTCCCGGAATTTATGTACTAGAAACACAATCCCTGCTGTGACAGGCACTGGGAGGGCCTTTGCTGGAGTCAGCTCACAGAGATTCACTGTCATGAATAAGTTAGGAGCATCATAAAAAGGGGCCTGTAGGGGGCTGGAGAGATGGCTCAGAGGTTAAGAGCATTGCCTGCTCTTCCAAAGGTCCTGAGTTCAATTCCCAGCAACCACATGGTGGCTCACAACCATCTGTAATGGGGTCTGGTGCCCTCTTCTGGCCTGCAGGCAAACACACAGACAGAATATTGTATATGTAATAAATAAATAAATGTTAAAAAAATTAAAAAAAAAAAAAAAAAAAGGGGCCTGTATTAGTTACTAGTCTTCTTGCCGTGACGAAGCACCTGATGAAGCATCTCAAGGAAGAAAAGATGATCTCGGCTCGTAGTTTAAGGGGTCGTGGTGGTGGGGAAGGCATGGTGGCAGGCAGCCAGTCATATTGCAGCTGTTGTCGGAAGGCAGAATGCGCAGGTAAAGAGGCGCTTAGCTTACTTAAAAATATACGTATTTATTTTTATATGTTATGTATATGAGTATTTTGCTTGCATGCATGTGTGTGTGTGTAGACAAAGGTACTCACAGAGGCCAGAAGCCCATCAAAGCCTCTGGAACTGGAGTCCATTGTGAGCCACCATGTGATACTGGGAACTAAACCTGGATCCTCTGCAGGAGCAGCAAGTACTCCTAACCATGGAGCCCTCTCTCCAGTCCTCACTTTTTTTTTTTCTTTTTTCTTTTTATTCATTCTGGGTACCCAGTCTGGTTAACCCAGTCAATAATGCTTCGGGGTGACTGGTTTTTTATTCATGTATGTATCTGCTACATCTGTGTAGATGCTTCCAGAGGCCAGAAGAGAGTAGAGACTTCCCTGGAGTGGAAGTTACAGGTGGTGATGAACAATCTGATACGGGTGCTGAGACTCAACTCAGGCCAGCTAGAGGGCTGCAAATGCTCTTAGCCCTTGAGCCATCTTTCCAGCCCCACTCAGCGGGTTCTAGAGACTCCCTCAGACAAGCCCAGAAGTAGAATCTCCCTCAGACAAGCCCAGAAGGCGGTCTATTAGGTTAAGCTGGTCTAGTCAAGCTGTCAATCAGCATTGACCATCAGAAAGCTGTCTGTAGGGGTCGCTCTCAGGCTCTGCCCTTCCTCTTCCTGCCCTGTGATGATAAAGCAGAAAGGAACCTTGATCTTTGACTTCCCAGGTTCTAGAATTGTGAATCCTTTTCAGTTCTACAAGGAGCGCAGTCTCAGGAATCCTCTTACGGCATTACAAAACAGACTAAGAAGCAGCGTGTGTCAAACCTGTTTGAGAAAGTAGGTGGATGATGATATGCTATTCACTGGGGTACAGGGTAAAGATGGATTCCCCCACCCTCACATCTTACCCAAGCATTAAGTCTAGTGTTGTCTGAGTTAGGGTTTCTATTGCTATGAAGAGACAGTGTAGCATGATTGATAAAAGCCCAGAGACAGAAATTGGGGTTCAACCTGAAGGTCAGAAAAGCAAAACAACCAGCCACTGGCTCTTTACCTCTACCTCAGTCTGAAATGGCAATTCTGCCTCCAGAAATCTCAGAATGAGACTGAGAGCTGTCTTGTCCCATTTTATATTCCTCGCTGGTGTTGGGATTAAAGGTGTTCACCTACCACTGGTTTCTATGGCAAACTAGTGTGGCTACTGGGATTACAGATAAGTGTCACCACTGCCTGGTCTGTAAGGTTGATCAGTGTGGATGTTTTATTCTCTGAACTTCAGGCAAGCTTTATTTATTAAAATACAAATAAAATATCACTGCAAGACACCATGATCACGTCAACTCTTATAAAAGAAGTATTTAATTGGGGTGGCTCACTTACAGTTCAGAGGTTCAGTCCATTATCATGGTGGAACATGGCGGTGTGCAGGCAGATATGGTGTTGTATGGTGTTGGGAAAGTAGGTGAGAGTCCTATGTCTTACAGGCAACAGGAAGTGGTCTCAAACACCATGAGTGACTTGAGCATTTGAGACTGCCTCACAGTGATTCACTTTCTCCAACAAGGCCATACCCACTCCAACAAAGCCACACCTCCTAAAAGTGCCACTCTCTTTGTGGGCCATGTTCTTCCAAACCTCCACAAATGCTTAAAGAACTAAACCGTAAAGCAAAACTAACCTATAAGTTAACACAGACACTAACTTTAATATATAGAGAAGAATTTTTAAATGATCATGGGACGGGTAAGGTCTAAAGAAAGACTGCAAATCCAGAAACTCAACAAAATAACTGACGGACGTGGCTACATGAAAAGGGACAGCTGAGATGTTCAGTCTCCTGGACTGAAAACTACCAGGTCCTTGTCCTTTCTGTCAGGGACAGCCATTGCTGGGCGACTCAGACCACAGGCTGTGGCCACTCTAATAAATCCCTTAAATAATATATATGTGTACATATATATATATTAGTTTATTCTATCAGCTATGTTCCTTAGAAAAACCTGACTAACACATATTTCTAGAACTTAAATACATTAAAATGCCATGGAATTGTTAGAAAGAGTTGGGAAGACTTATACATACAGATAAACACTTTTTAAAGCACTGTAGGCACCCATAGTACATTGTGAATAATGTATACAACAGGGTATAATTGCATGTATAACTGCACAGATGCATATACATATATATGTTCATATATTCATATATATGTACATAATATAATATATATCTATTCCTCCCCAGGGGCATAAGACGGGGACTGGAAGGTAGTGTGATCAAGAAGTAAACACTTATTATCAAAAAGCCACTAAGACAGAGCTGGAGAGCTGGCTCAGCAGTTAAGAGTGTTGGCCACCCTTTCCAAGGACCTGGGTTCAATTCCCAGCACCCACATGGCAGCTCACAACTATCTCTAAGTCCAGCTCCAATGGATCTGACTCCCTCAAACAAGCATACATGCAGGCCAAATACCAACACACACAAAAATTAAATGAGTAAATAAATAAAAATTACTTCTTTAAAAAAGGCACTAAGATTGGAGATGCTTGTTACTGTAGCATAGGGTAGTCCTACCCTGACTGATACAAATAGGAGAGACTTTACAAGGTCTTTCTTCATGTATTTCTCTATAGTGCATGCCATAATCACAGCTTATGAATTATTCATAAGTCAATTTTAAAAATTGACTTCTTAGCAAAATTAACAATTACTACAGGTCAACGTCCCTTGGGACTATGGATAAGTAGAAACGGCAAAGCCTGAATTCAAGGTCAAAGTTGAAACACCAGCCTGAGGCCTCTCCTGCTGGCCAGAAATGTGTCTGGAGACTGAAGAACTCTGAGACATGAGATGTGCTGTTCAGCCAACAACCAGGAAACCTGGAGATGAATTACCCACAGAATTATGCATGACCCTGGTGGGAGGTCAGGATAGAAAACTTTTTCCTGCCTCACCACAGCGCTGAAGGCCTTCCCAATAGGTGGTAGACCCACCCACAGGGGCTGTTTTTGCCCACATATGTGGCGTGACTCTTGAGCAGAGAGGACTAAGTCACAGCCATTACTGATTCTTGTCATCTCATGGTGCTGGCTTTTCTAGACATGTCCTCAACAGAAAAACAAATAAAAACCACTGACTCCCGACAGTCAGACTCTTATTCCTGGTGGTTCCTGCCCTTGTTCGAATCTACTTAACTCAGTGACAGAGCGCCTCCTCTCTGCCAAACCTTGTAATTGCCAGCTGCAATAAGAGTTCTCTCCTATTCTCAGCCTGGTAGAGACAGGTAGGTAATAACAACTGCCCAGAAACATAGATAGTGCTACCCTTTCTGAAGTGGGGAGGGTTGGGGGGGTTCCGATTATTTCCAGTCACAAAACAAAACAGAAACAACCTTCTTGCCAAATGTAGCTATCTCCACTTTTCTCAGATGGACAAAGATCGAAAGAGATGAATTGACTTTCTTAAATCCATCAGTCCCCCAGGAAAGGCGCAGTGTCCAGCTTGCTCTGCCCAGGTTGTCACCTCTTAAGGGTCAGGTAAATAAGGGCACAGAGTGGAACAAAAGGCAGAGAGGCACAGAAAAGGGATGAGGGTGACAAAGCCGTGAGTCAGAACACTGACCTTCAGAACAGGGCACCGAGACCCAGCTTCTTGCTTCTGTTGCCCCCAGAGGACAGGTAGAGCCCTGTTACTGCAGAGGCTGGAAATCTCACTTGGGTTAGCTATGGTTAGCCTTCCCTCCATTTCTGCCCTCACCCTCCCCTCCTGAACGTGGAAGGAAAGGTTTGATTTGCTGGAGGCTTGCGGCGGGGACAGAAGAGCCTTCACAGAGGTCTGCTGTTGAGCAAAGAACCCTAGAAGTAGATTTAGGCTCCGGCTACAGGCAGCTGAGGTCCCAAGTCCACCCCACCCAGTCCCTTCAGTAGCCGAGGCTAGGGACTGGTCATATCCGTCTGTTATCAGCTCTGGTATTTTTCCTGATTAAGCTCTCAGAAACCAGTGAACAACCTGAAGATCTAATTTAGTTCTGTTCTTGGTTCCTGAAGAACCTAATCCCAACAGAGTGTAGTAGAGTTCCCAGCCCAGGGCTTTCTTCAAGTGGGGCTCATTTACCCACTCAGTGAGGCCAGTAATGAGCGGAGAGGTCTCTAGAAAAGCCTGGAAGGGAGAGGACTGGCTCCCCGCGTTCCTCGGTAGCATAGTCGCCCCCCCCCCCCAAGGTTCACGAAGGAGAAGCCGCCGCTGAGAAACCGCTGGTGCCGGTCCCCTGGGGCGCCATGGCGACCGGAGCGAACGCCACGCCGCTGGACTTCCCAAGTAAGAAGAGGAAGAGGAGCCGTTGGAACCAAGACACAATGGAACAGAAGACAGTGATTCCAGGAATGCCCACAGTTATCCCCCCTGGACTGACACGGGAACAAGAAAGAGCTTACATAGTGCAACTACAGATAGAAGACCTGACTCGTAAACTGCGCAAAGGAGACCTGGGCATCCCCCCTAACCCTGAGGACAGGTCCCCTTCCCCTGAGCCAATCTACAACAGTGAGGGGAAGCGGCTTAATACTCGAGAGTTCCGTACCCGCAAAAAGCTTAAAGAGGAGCGACACACACTTATCACAGAGATGATTGCTTTCAACCCGGACTATAAACCACCTGCAGATTACAAGCCTCCAGCAACACGTGTGAGTGATAAAGTAATGATCCCCCAAGATGAGTATCCAGAAATCAATTTTTTGGGTCTCTTATTTGGGCCTAGAGGGAACACTCTGAAGAACATTGAGAAGGAATGCAATGCCAAGATCATGATACGGGGAAAAGGATCTGTGAAAGAGGGGAAAGTTGGGCGCAAAGATGGTCAGATGTTGCCAGGAGAGGATGAACCTCTTCATGCTCTGGTCACTGCCAATACAATGGAGAATGTCAAAAAGGCAGTAGAACAGATCAGAAACATCCTGAAGCAGGGTATTGAGACCCCAGAGGACCAGAATGATCTACGGAAGATGCAGCTTCGGGAGTTGGCTCGTTTGAATGGCACTCTATGGAAAGATAACAGGATCTTAAGACCCTGGCAGAGCTCAGAGACACGCAGCATTACCAATACTACCGTGTGTACCAATTGTGGAGGGGCTGGCCACATTGCATCCGATTGCAAATTTCAGAGGCCTGGTGACCCTCAGTCGGCTCAGGATAAAGCACGGATGGATAAAGAATATTTGTCCCTTATGGCTGAGCTAGGGGAAGCTCCTGTCCCTGCATCTGTGGGCTCTACCTCTGGACCTGCCACCACACCCTTGGCCAGTGCACCAAGACCAAGACCTGCTGCTCCTGCCAGCAACCCACCACCACCATCTCTCATGTCTACAACGCAGAGTCGCCCACCCTGGATGAATTCTGGCCCTTCAGAGAATCGGCCCTATCATGGCATGCATGGAGGTGGTCCTGGTGGGCCTGGAGGTGGCCCCCACAGTTTCCCACTCTCATTACCCAGCTTGACAGGTGGGCATGGTGGACATCCCATGCAGCACAACCCAAATGGACCACCACCACCTTGGATGCAGCCACCACCCCCACCGATTAACCAGGGCCCCCACCCACCTGGGCATCATGGCCCTCCTCCAATGGATCAGTACCTGGGAAGTACGCCTGTGGGCTCTGGGGTCTATCGCCTGCATCAAGGAAAAGGTATGATGCCGCCACCGCCTATGGGCATGATGCCGCCGCCTCCGCCACCTCCCAGTTGGCAGCCCCCGCCTCCTCCCTCTGGTCCTCTTCCTCCATGGCGGCAGCAGCAGCAGCAGCAGCCTCCACCACCCCCTCGGCCCAGCAGCAGTATGGCTTCCAGCACCCCCTTGCCATGGCAGCAAAGATCCCTTCCCGCGGCAGCGATGGCCCCGAGCCATGAGAGTGAGGACTTTCCGCGCCCATTGGTGACCCTTCCAGGCAGACAGCCTCAGCAGCGCCCTTGGTGGACAGGATGGTTCGGCAAAGCAGCCTGAGTTATTTTTGTGGACGGAATCTGAACACGCTGGCTCCATATCGTGAAATTTTTATTAATTTTTATCTTTTTCCTTTGTTATTTCCTTATCTTTTCCTTTCTTCAGACTCCGTCCAAGGAGATGCTCTCCCCGGTCTTCTGCTGCAGATAGAATCCTTTCCCTTGTCTCCATTCCTCTCTTCCCAAGGAGAGAGGAGCAAATGGTTAGGCACAGACTTTGTCCATTAATGTCAAGTTTGGTTGTTAAGGTGGGTCCTGTGTGGTTTATCTTTGCCACCTTTTAAAGCATCTTGAGAATTTAGATGTTGCTAGATAGGGTTAATCCAGCCCTGGGATTCATATCTTCCAGCAGTAAGTGGGACAGCCCAAGCCACTATAGACCTGCCTGCCAGCCTGGAGTCTTCCATGCTCCTGATCACCTAAACTGCCTCAGATGCCATTTGCTTCTCTTCTTCCTGGAAAGCTTCCCATTATGTTTTATTTTGACCCCAGATGTCCAGATGTTTTGCAGTGTCTGGGGCTTGTGCCCCTTGTTCTTCGTTCAGCTTCTTTGCCCTTTCCCTCTTCATGGAGTGATTATGTTGACAATAATGTGTAACGCGCGTTCTTTTCACTGGTTTATCTACAGAAATTTCTCTGGTGTTTGATTCAACACTGCACTAAAGGGGGGAATGTTCCATTGAATAAAAGAGCAGTGTGGTTTAAAAAAAAAAAGCCTGGAAGGTGTGAGCAAGAGGCCTTTGGGTAGTGTGAGAGCCAAAGTTATGTTTTAAGTTGTAATTACTATGCCTCCAAGATCCGTGAAACAACAGAAACAACAACGCCTCTGTCCTATAAGCCCCTTGCCCAAGGACAAATACTTCCTGAAATGCTGGAGGCGGTTGTTTATGGGAAACAACAAATCTCTTGTTTTTACTCCCCTAAACAAAGTTTGTTTGACCCAACTACACAGGATCACATGTGGGCGGGAAGTACATAGGCAGGAAATATGTCAGGATGTATGCTTGGCCCTGATTGGGCCTGATGGGAAATGTGATTGTTAGCTTTGCCTTTTTAAACTCCTGCTAACAGTGACTCAGGGTCATTTCCCTGGGAATCTGGATATGGACTTGGCCAGAGTCCATCAATCTGGCCTGTATTTAATTAAAGCTTGTTTCAAATTTGATTTTAAATTGTGATAGTGGTCTTCTTCTTGACTGGTTGGATTAATAGTGGTCTTTCTTAGGCCCCACTTTAGACTGAGGCTTGGAGGTACTTCTGGTCTTTGAGCTGATGACCTGCAAGATGCCAGAGACACTCAGAATAGAACCAAGGGCTTCTAAGTCAAAGAAGGGCAATTCTGGGGTGCAGGTGAGTGCCTCTGCTCTTTAGTTTGATGGGGAGTCTGATATAAATGCATTCTTGGGCTTCTTTCAACAAGTGGCCCAGCTAGTGCTAAAAATGGTGACTAAGCGAGGAAGTACGCTGACTGGGAGCTGGGGAGATGGCTCAGTGGGCAAGAGCACTTGCTGTGTAAGCACAAAGACCTGAGTTCAAATTCTCAGTGTCCATCTAAAAGTCAAGTGGCTGAGTATATGAGTTCCTGCAACCCCAGAGCTATGGGAGGCAGAGACAGGAGGATTGCTGATTCAACACTTTCTTCAATTTCAGAGAGAGAATCCATGCTCTGGAAGGTACTAAGACCAAAGGTGATAAAGAACAGTTGGCACCCTCTCTGGTCCCTACACATACATGTGCATACACCACACACATATACTACTAAAGCAAATGCACACACATGTATTCCACAGGTGGAAGATATAGAGGTGGTTGCCTTGCGGCATAGAGATCTCCCCCGGACACATGGCTTCCCCACGGAATGTAGAAAGCTGCACAAACATTCTAATGACGTGACAAGAGAAGACGGGACAGTGTCGTCAGAATTACGACTCCCTGGAAATAGCGTTGATGTCATATCATCACATGCTGAAAAGGGCTGCTTAGCTTTTTAGTTACAGCCTGCTGCCCTTCTTAGGGGGTATCTTATGCTCCTGCAAAGACAGTTGTCAGGGTTGAAAACAGCGGGCGCCTGGAGGGACAGTTTATGTTTTCTTTTCTTAAAATGTGTACCCCTGGAGGAAGAGAATGAGGTTGTGTTTTGTATTGTTGTTTCTCTCCCCTGGCCCTACCTGCTCCCATCCCTGAGGACAAGCAGCCAAAGAACAACCCCTGTAGTGACTAAAGGAAGCCTGCTGTGGTAATGCATGCAGTAAATTTTAGGGCAACCTGGGGTGCATAGAGTGCATTCCAGACCAGCCTTGGCTGTATATAGTGCGTTCCAGACCGGCTTGAGTTGTATAGTACATATACATTCCAGGGTGGCCTAGGTTATATTGTGTGTTTCAAGCGGGCCTGGGTTGTATATAGCATGTTCCAGGCCGGCCTGGATTATATCGCGTGTTTCAAGGCTGCCTGGGTTGTGTGGTGCATTCCAGGCCGGCCTGGGTTGCATAGCAAGATCCTCCCTCAAAACGCTGAGAACAAACAAAAGCAAGCAAAGCAAAAGTCCTCCAGGGGCAGCCAGACTCACCAGAAGCTCCGAATAATGGGTGTGTTTGTTCACAGCCTCGGAACAGTTTGTTCTCCAGAAGGCCCGCGAGGAGGCAGGCTCTGTGCATATTTAGCTCAAAGTGTCACAACAAAGGGTGGGCAGGACAGTTCAAACAATACATGCTCACATCTCGCAATGCGGGAGGTTGGAAAGGCCAAGCTCAGGGTGCTGGTGGATTTGGTACAATAGCTTGCTTTGGTTTGCAGATGGCCACATTCCTGTAGTGTCCTCACGTGACTGAGGAAAGAAAGTCCTGGCTGATACCCCTTTTAATAAGGGACACTGGTCTCATCCTGGGAATTCCACCCTCATGACCTCACCTGGCCTCTTACTTCCTAAATATCACCATTGACTAGGGCTCCAACATAAGAATTGGAGGGGTGCAGAAACATTCATTCTATAAGACAGAGCATTAAAATCGCATGCCGTGGGGCCCTGCTTAGCACAAAAGTTTGATCTCTGTGGTAGACAGAATTGAAAGTCAGCCCATAAGAGTCCTGCTCTCTCGTGCCCTTGACAGAATTCAAAGTCAGCCGGTAAGAGTCCTGCTCCGTTGTGCCCTCACCATGCACAATCCCCTACTTTGAGGTGGGTGGGGGAGTCCAACTCAGTCATATGAGATGCCAAAAGCAGGTCTAGAGGACAAAGAGATCAGAGTGTTTTCCTGTTGTTAGACAGCTAGTTAGACGTTAACAAAGTTGAAAGGCAAATAGGGGTAGGCCTGAGGCAGGCACGCACAGGGAATAGCTTAACAATTTGGGGACTCCACTTGGTTTGGGCTATGCACATATATATTATTTTCTAATAGTGCATTTGTCAGCCTAAGATTCTCATCTGCAAGTGCTACATACCCGGCTTCAACAACAAATCTAGCAATCTTGTTAGCCACCTAGGATCAACCCGAGTTCACTTGCACACATACTCTCCTCTGGATAATTGAATAAGCTTCTCGTCTCCTTAATGAACATGAAACTTAGATCCCATTTAATCATTGTCATCCATTTACAAGAGTGGAAAGGTCAGAGCTAGTTTGGGGTGTGTATGCAGTAAGGCAAAACTGTGTCTCCAAGCAAATTTAAAGAGAATCTGCTATTTGCTCGCTTACATTCTGCACAATTGGGCATGCATAAAATTGAAATCGGTTGCATTATCAGAAGGTGTAGACAAATTTTTTTGGGGGGCCTCCGGCTCACAAAAAGTGACATAGAGACTTATTAATTATGAAAGTTCAGCCTATAGCTTAGGCTTGTCCTGGTAGCTGTTATAACCTAAATTAATCCATTTACATTAATCTACATGTTGCCTCCTGGCTTTTCACCTCCCTTTCACCTTGCACCTCCTGTTCCTCTCCACGTCCCTTGCCCCCGACTCCTCCCCCCTGCCCCATCCCTAGATACATCTCCTCTTCTTATCTCTCTTCCTGGAAGTCCCACCTAACCTCTTCCTGCCTAGCTATTGGCCATTCAACTCTTTATTAAACCAATTAGAAGGTGCCTGTAAGACAAGAACTTTAAATCTTTGAAAAAGAAATTGAATAAGACACCAGAAAATGGAAAGATCACCCATGCTCTTGGGTAGGTAGAATTAACATAGTAAAAATGGCAATCTTACCAAAAGCAATTTACAGATTCAGTGCAATGCCCAGCAAAATTCTTCACAGAGCTCAAAAGAATAATACTCAACTTCATATGAAAAAGCAAAAAAACCCAGGATAGCCCAAACAATCCTGTACAGTAAAGAAACTTCTGGAAGCATCACAATCCCTGACTTCGAACTCTACTAAAGAGCTACAGTACTGACAATAGACTGGTACTGGCATAAAAATAGACAGGAGGACCAATGGAACCCAACTGAAGACCTGGATATCAATCCACACACCTTCGAACACCTGACTTTTGACAACAAATCAAAATATATAAAATGGAAAAAAGAAAGCATATATAACAAATGGTGCTGGCATAACTGGATATCAACATGTAGAAGAATGAAAATAGATCTATATCTATCACCATGTACAAAACTCAAGTCCAAATGGATCGAAGACCTCAACATAAAGCCAGACACACTGAACCTCATAGAAGAGAAAGCGGGAAGCACACTTGAACACATTGGCAGAGGGAACCACTTCCTAAATATAACCCCAACAGCACAGAAACAGAAAGAAACAATAAATGGAACTTCCTGAAACTGAGAAGTTTTTGTAAAGCAAAGGACACAGACAAGAAGACAAAATGGCAGCCTACAGAACGGGAAAAGATCTTCACCAACCCTACATTGGACAGTGGACTGATCTCAAAAATATACAAAGAACTCAAGAAATTGGTCATCAAAAGAACAAATAATCCAATAAAAATGGGGTACAGACCTAAACAGAGAACTCTCAACAGAGGAATCTAAAATGTCTGAAAGATACTTAAGGAAATGTTCAACATTCCATCTTACACCTGTAAGAATGGCTAAGATCAAAAACACTGATGACAACTTATGTTGGAGAGGTTGTGGGGGTAAAGGGAACACTTCTGCATTGCTGGTCGGATGATGTGGGATTCCCTCTGTATGCTGTGAATACCACTAGTTAATAAAGAAACTGCTTTGAGCCTATAGCAGAGCAGGGCAGAACAGAGCTAGGTGGGGGTGGGGGGAGCAGGAAGGGAACTAAACCGAATGATGGGGGAAGGAAGGTGGAATCAAAGAGAAGTCATGGAGCTGCTGCCAGAGACAGATATGGTAGAACCTTGCCAGTAGGCCACGAGCCTCATGGTAAAATATAAAACAATGGAAATGAGTTAAATTAAGACATAAACTCTAGCCAATAAGAAGTTAGAGCTAATAGGCCAAGCAGTGATTTAATTAATAGTTTCTGTGTGGTTATTTCAGGAGTCTGGGCGGCTGGGAAATGAACAAGTGACCTCCTACAACAGTGGAAGTACAAACTAGTACAACCCCTTTGGATGTCAGTGTGGCGATTTTTCAGAAAAGTAGGAAACAACCTTCCTCAATACTCAGCAATACCACTTTTGGGTATATATC